TTCTGTAGGAGCAAGCCGTTCTGTAGTTCGGTTAGCCGAACAGGCTTGGAGTTTCCTGCTTCTGTCTTGTACCGGCATCCAGGAGTTTGACTCGTGTGTGCGTTTGCGAGTTTGAAAGTCCACCCCATTGTCCCTTGTTGTGGAGATGCCTTTACAAGAAGTAAATTATTAATAACAATCTTTACATTTGACGTAAGGAAGAAATTTCATGGGTGCGTGTCTCAAAACACTTTACAGTATATACTGGAAACCGGAGTGTTTTTTGTGGGTGAACGTGGCAACGTCCCACAAACAGCCATGGAGTGAGTGATCAATTTTATTTGGGGCGGGGGAATTGTTGACCATGATTCGGGCGAGGGAAGCTCCTTTCTTTCTTTGTACAGTGCCACAGGATTATTAACGTTCACCTCAACAGGCAGATAGGACCTCGGTTTAATATCTCAATCAAAGGATGAGACCTCCAACAATGCAGCGCTCCCCTTAATTTGAAGGTATAGGTAATTAAATGGGACTGAATGCACTGCTCTTTGAAAGATGGATACAATGGGCCTAATGGCCTTCTTCTACACTGTACATTTCTATGGCTCCAAGTGGATCACGGGGACAAATAACCTAGATATTCTCTTTGTCTTATCTTATTTTAAGATTTTATGGACGTCCGCTTGCTTTCTCTCGAAAACAGATCATAATTTTATCTGTAACCCGTCTGGAAGGAAAGCTGGCCGTTTCCACAGTGACGACCTTTGCTCCACAAGGCCGCCTCTTCCATCAGACACTTTTATAGTGTTTGTGCGCCGGTGTGCAGTTAACATGCTGTGCGGGGAACCAATAAATTTAAATGAAGCCAGCTTGCAATGGTTTGTCTGCGACAAAGTGATGTCTCTTTTTTTTTTCCGGGGTGCCGGGGTGATTGGGGTAAATGAGTGCGTGGGGGGAGAAATTAATTCAAAACAAAAATTCAGCAGGAAATCTCAGAGATGCTATCTTTCGGTACTTCCTTTGTGAATCAGGGCTAGGTGTTTGTTGGGTGCGAGCAGGCAGTGTGCAGTGTGTGGAGCTGCGTATCAGGTCTCAGTGGGTTGACTTTTGTGTCATATTGGTTATTGATTAACCTTCCCCCCCTCCCCCACCGTCCCTCGTTCTCAATGTCTGAAACGGAAAGTGGGATGCTGGCATTTTTGCGGTGGGGTGGAGCGGTGTATTGTCGGAGGTGACATTTTTCGGATGAGATGTTAAACCTAGGTTCTGTCCGCTTGTCTCGTGTGGACGGAACCATTCAAAAGAAAGCAGAGAGATTCTCTGTCAGATGTATTGACTGTTTGCCTCATGCCTGCTTGCGGCAGCTTGCTGGGCGGGCACACAAGGCTGTCTCGTTCGCCTGCAAAAGCAGGCCGCAACTTGACGGTAATTTGAGGTGTTTTGGTATGATAAGGTTTTAAAAGCAGCATCGCAGTGCACCATTCATTCACTCTTTAATTTGTGATCTTTTATCTCTCTTGAGTTGACCCACTTTAAACTGCTGAGAAATCTTGAGAGCTTTTCTCATTCAGAGGCAGGGAGGAGGCATTTGACTCTAATTTTTATCTTTGACTGAATTTCTGCTCACATTTCCACCGGCCGAATTCCTTCACGTCGCAACAAATGGCTGAGGAAGCTATGCCTTGGGCATCCCTGGTGGCTTAATTCACACCTGCCAACAGTGTGAAGGTGCCAAGTTGGATACTCAGCCTATTTTGTGGATTAAACTCAGGCGGTGTGACACTTGGACAAGCAATCTGCTGACCTAGGGAATATTCAACTGTTCTTGATTGCCTTGGTGTGTTAGCCTGGCTCAGTGGGAGCACTCTCGCCTTGAGTCAGAAGGTGGTGGGTTCAAGCCCCACATTGGGACTTGGAATCACATAGCCTAAGCTGTCACTCCAGTGCAGTGCTGGAGGTGTTTTGGATTGTCAGAGATACCGTTCTTTGGATGAGATGTTAAACCAAGGGTCCCGCTTGCCTGCTCAAGTTGATGTTAAAAATCCCATGGCACTATTTTTCATGGTATCCTGGCCAACAATCCCCCAAGTAAGAAAAAAAGTCAGAAATTGATCACTCCACGGCTGTTTGCGTGAAACCGCTGTGTGCAAACTGGCCACTGTGTTTCGTCCCAAAAATACACAGTCACTGCAATTTATAGTATATGCTGTGAAGCGCTTTGAGAATTCTCGATGATGTGATAAGACGCTATATTAAATGCAAGTATTATTATAGAATTATTATACTGGAAAAAGCTACAATGGGGTTCTCTACCTGTTTGCCTCCCCACCTCAGGTGCCCTCTGGCCCCCTGCCCCTTCCTCTGGTGGTGCCCTCTCTGCCCGCCTGCCCCTCTGTCCACACACCCTTTTGCTCAACACTTAACCTCTTTATGAGAACCACCCACAAAACACGCAGTCACTCCACTTTACAGTAGATCCTGTGAAGTCCTGTGGTGATGGGATATCCTCTTGAAGTGAAAGGCACTGTACCGAATGTAAGGACCATTATATTTTGCAGGAAATTAGCTTCTACAATCATGAGTGAATTGAAGGGTTTTCCAAAGTCTGCTCGCATTCTCCCTCGACGACGATCTTAAGGCTAAGACTGTGAACCGTTTCAGAGGTGTGGAATTTTACTACTAATAATAATAATCTTTGCATTTGAGATTGCACCTTATTACATCATATGAGATGTCTCAAAGCACTTCACAGGATATACTATAAAGTGAATTGACTGGATATTTTGTATGCAAAAGCCAGCAGCCAATTGCCTACTGCATTGTCCCACAAACAGTCATAGATTGGGTGACCAAATTATTATTATTTTGAAGGGATTATTACCCCGGGAAATCGATCCACCACTCGATTAACAAAGGGGTTCCTACTTAATGCTAGATAAACAGCGGAGTGTGTAGTAAGGAAACTTGCCTAAGATTTTCAAACCCGGGTCCTCTTGCTTGCCAGCTGCGTTCTCTAACCACTACATTACAGGACTCCACAACATTTTAACATTGACGATACCGTTCTGGTTTCCAAACCCCCCCACCCCCCCCCCCACCACTGTAAGCAACACATCATTGAAGCCGGCTGGACCAAGCAGCCTCTGAAGTCTCCCTGCCCCCACCCCATCCCACCCAACCACCCCTGTCACTGACTTTTAACCCCTCGAGTTCAGAAATCAGAGACACTGACCCAAGCTGCCTGTCGCAAGCGGTGAGGACAGAGAGTGAGTCTCTCTCGCTTTGTTTCCTTTCCCCCAGTGGCTTTCTGCGAGGATCGGAGGAACGTCCCAGGCCAGCTGGCTGCCAGATGTTGTCTCAATTCACTTGGCAGCAGCCTCAGGGACTAGCCTGCACTGAGCAGGCCACAGTTGCTTCTGGTGAGTGTAGGAAAGGTCACTGAAGACAGCCGGACAGGAGGTCGGGGTGGGAAGAGAGGGAGAGAGGGGCATAAAAGGATTTTGTTCTGAAGCCCCTTTGAGTACCTAACAAAGCATCGTCTGACCTTCTGTGAAGTGCAGGATCATGCGTGAAAGTTTTTTTCCCCCTAAAAAATCACATTTAGTTTTGGAGGGGGTGGGGGGGGGGGGCGCGGGGAGGAGGTTCGCAGGAAGTGATGCAGCTGAGCCATGCTTCCCTAGCAGCAGAATATGGCTGAAAGCAGACTCCAGGAGCCTTGTTCAAGTTGCTCAACTCTTGTTCAGTAAGAAGGTTCCTTTATTTTCACCCTCGCAATGCGACCTGGCAACCAGAGCCCACAGTACGTCAGTGAGAGGTGGGATGGGGGAGTGGGAGGGGTATCTGACGTATTCGCTGCTTAAATTTCTCTGTCAGGGAGTTTACCAAGTCCTGTTATCCCCATGTAACAGGTTAACAGGATTTTGTGAACACCCTGTATTTAACTCCTAGGATGAAGTAATGTAGTTTTCTTTTGTTGGGAGAGAGGGAGGGAGATGTGGATGGGTTGGGGGGGGGTACACTCAACCACTTTGCTCTTGACTGTGTGCATTGAGAGATGGGGCAATGTGAAATGACAGATGTTCAGTGGAGCCAGACCATTGCTCAGCTCTGGCTGACAAGTTGTTTTTATTTCCCCCTCCTGTTTGAAAGAAGACCTTTATCCTGTGCCTTCCTATCCATGCACGCGCTCCCGCAGTGAGTCGGTGCAGTGAGTGAAGGCAGGCTGATTCGACAGTGAGAAAGCATCTCAGCTTAGTTCAGCTCAGTCTGATCCTGTCCTCATCTGACCTCCACACATGGTGTGCGTTTCCCAGCTGGAGGTGGCGTGGGGAGGGGGAAGGGGGGGAAGAAAAAGTGAGGAGAGGACTAGTCACTGGTTAGTGATTGGGAGCAGGGATCGAGGCTCAATAGTTTTAACTCTTCCCGAGTTCCAAGAATGCAGAGGTCCACAAAGGAACGCGGAATCCTGTAGCGTAGTGGTTAGCGCACTCGCTAACGAGAGGACCTGGGTTCGATTCCCGGGCGAGGCAAAACCTTAGGCAAGTTTCCTTATAAGCACACCTGTGTTTACGTAGTAGTAAGTAAGGACATGGTTGTTAGTTGATTAGCAGATAATTTTTTAGGTGTAATAATCCCACCCAAGAAACAATAATAATTCGGACACTCAATCCACGACTGCAATGCTTAACTGGCTGCCGAACTTGGTCCACAAATAGATAGTCAGTCAACAACAACAAATTACATTTGCGTAGCATCTTTCCCGTCGGGAGCACATGCCGTGGTGCTGGACTGTCGAGCATTTGCACCTGAACTGGGGGGGCTGGGATCAGGAGGAGGGCAAGGAGGGCGGGGGTAGGAGGATGACCGAAGGCGTGGTCGAAGAAGAAGGGTTTGAGATGGGTTCGGATCCACTTCACAGTTTATTCTGTGAAGAGCTTTGAGACGTCTCAACGACGCGATAAGGTGCTATTTCGCATGCAAGGATTATTATTATTATCATCATTATGTTTTCCTGTTTCCAGCTGCCTGTGGAGTATGGGTACGACAGCCAGTGCCGCTCAACAGACGGTGCCAGGGTCCCAGCACTGCGACAGCGTCCACAGCAACGGCACAACCGATAGCAGGAGGTCGGCCAGTGTGAACTCCTTCCAGGCCATGAGCATCCACAACAAGGCCAAATCCATCATCACCAATAAAGTGGCCCCCGTGCTCATTACGTAAGTGACATCTCTGCCGCCTCAGGTGGTGTATTTTGTATTACCGTGAGGCGTCTCGAGGACGGGATAAGGCGCTATATCAATTTAAAGAGTTAGCGAGCGCATCTTGCAAGTGAGAGGACCCGGGTTCAATTATCGGGAGGGGCGAAACCTTAGGCAAGTCTCCTTACTCCACACACCTCTGTTTACCCAGCAGTAAGTACGAACCCAGTTGTTAGTCGATCCCTTAAAAAATATATAATTTGGCCACTCAATCCACAGCTGTGGGCGTTTCGTCCACAAAAGATAGTCAATTCACTTTACAGTAGATTCTGTGAAGCACCATTGAGACGTCTCGAAGACGTGGTAAGGCGCTATATCAAATGCAAGGATTATTATGACTGTTATTTAAAAAAAGAGAGTAATAGGACTTGGTGAATATCGTGCAATGTCCTGGCTTCAGAGATGATCATTTAAATAGAAACACAGGCGAAACATTTGTGGGTTTCCTGAAAGGTTCCCTGACTTAGGGCCGGCAAATTTAGAGCAGGTTCAAAGAATGCCACAAATTTCACCTCCTAGAAATCTCTGCCTTGAAGGGCTGTGGTGACCGTGACACTCCTCCCTGTCTTTCCTGAAAAATAAAATCCCACTTTCCAGCTCCCTTCCCATATCCCGTTATGTGTTTTTGAGAGAGTCAAACATTCCATCACACCCCAGATGCCAGCGCAGGGATAAGCAGACACACTTTGGAGGATTTGGGGCAAGACTTGGGGGCGCGGGTGGAAGAAAAAAGTGACCCTAGAGCTCCAGGAAGTAATAAGGCCGCAGTAAGCGTTTAAACAAACACGTTTAAGAGAAATGTTTTTAATGTGCACTGAAGCCAGGAGAGTTGTTGCAAGGGGACTGTGCAGAGAGCTTGCCTGCAGCGTGTTTTAAAAATAACACAGCTCTTGGGCAGCACACTCCCAGTGTTTGTGTTGGTCGCTGGCCAAGAGGCCAGATTAATGTGAACACAAAAGGATCGTGGTTTATTTTCTGCTGCTCTCGAGACCCCCACCGCCCACACCACAGATTGTTCTTGGGAAGGGTTCCTGTTCATAATAGCTATTCAGTTACTCTTGTTTCACTACACAGTATCATGTAATCCTGGCATTTGTTATCGTGCCTTTTATGGAGTTCTGTAGCATAGTGGTTAACGCGCTCGCCTCACAAGCGAGAGCACCCGGGTTCGATTCCCGGGCAGGTTGAAACCTTAGGCACATTTCCTTACTCCACACATCTCTGTTTACCTACCAGTAAGTAAAAACATAGCTGTTAGTTGATTGGCGGATCACTTTCTGGGGGTAATAATTCCTCAAAAAAAACTAATTTGGTCAGTCAACCCATGACTGTTTGTCGGACACCTCGGTGGCAATTGGCTGCTGTGTTTCGGCTACAAAATATACAGTCACTACACTTTACAGTATATTCTGTGAAGTGCTTTGAGATGTCGCAATGACATAAGGCACTATATCAAATGCAGGATTGTTATTATTACATTTGCGCAGAGCAATGTTCCCCAAATAGCTATGTAGTGAATGATCAATTTTTTAATCTGGGGGATTGTTGGTCAGAGCATTGGGAGAAACTCCTTTATCTTTTTGAATTATGCCGTGGTTATGTAATGTTTACCTGGATAGGCAGACAGTGCCTTGGTTGAACATGTCACTCGAAGGACGGCACCTCTGAGAATGCCTTCGGGTGAAACATTAAACCAAGGTCCCATCTGCCTGTTTAGATCATTGTCAAATGATTCCCATGTAGTTCAAACAGAGAAGGGATTTATCTCTCCCGATGTACTGGCTAACAATCCGCCAAATAAAAGTGATCACTCACTCCATGGCTGTTTGTGGGACACTGATTTGCACAAATGGCTGCTGCCTTCACCCACAAAATACAGTCAATTCACTTTACAATGACGGACTTTGAGATGGCTTGACAATGTGATAAGGCAATACATCAAATGCAAGTTTTTTTTAACATAGACCAGTGTTGTGTACGGTTGCGAGATTATGAAGGATGAGACGAGCTCGTAAGAGAATTGCGCTCTCTTTGCATAACTCAGAGTACGGAGGATTGACCTCACTGTTCTATTTGCTGCAGGTATAACTGTAAGGAGGAATTTCAGATTCATGATGATTTGCTCAAAGCCAATTATTCTCTTGGAAGAATCTCGCCTAATTTGCTGGAGCACTACCTGGTGCAGGTAAGAGTTGAACATGGAGGTTGTGAAAGGCTCACAAATAAATAATAGCCACCAGGGTAAGGCATCAGTGGGTGCCAGTGGAGTTGATGGAATCAAATTGTCAAAATACACAGTCCCTACACATGAATACATAAATTCTGTGAAGCGTTTTGAGGTGGGCTCCTGATATGAAAAGTGCTATATTATCAAACACAAGGATTAGTATTTTAATCTTCAACATTCACACACTTCTAACCAAATGGAACCACCACCCCCCCAGCAACGGCTTTCACTTTCAGGAGTGGAGTTGAGGGGAGATAGTTGAATGGAAAGAAAGAGTATTAAAGTGACTGATCTGGTCTCTGAGTTACACTTTCTGCATGAATATTAAAGATCCCATGGCACTGCTTGAAAAGGGAAGGGAACTTTTCCTGTTGTCCTGTCCTGGTGGCTAACCTGCAGGTAAACTGGTGATCACAACTTAGCTGCTATGTTTGCCTTCACTTGACCTCAATTGCCTATGATGCGCTTGGAGGCATTTGAACTTGCATTTATATAGCACCCCTCACGCAGGGTAGCCTGCCTCCCAGAGCCCTTGACAGTGGCGGAGAGGAAGGTCTTCAAGCATGATCTGAAGATGGGGAAAGAGAGGGACCAGGTGTAGAGATTGAAGGAAAGTGTTCCAGCGTTTCGGGGAGTAGCGTGACTGTGCGGCCCCGATGGTGGAAGGGAGGGCACGAGGGACAAGCAAAGAGGCTGGAGCCAGTCGAGCAGGGGCAACGGGTAGTGGGTTGGGGAGTAAACAGGTCAGAAAGGTAGGGAGCTGCCAGGGCGTTTCAGTTTTTAGCAGTGCTGTAACAAATGGAAGGATTATATCAGCTGGTAATCATTTGTGTGTGTCATTAAATTGCATTATCATTCATGTTCCAGGGACAATATTTTATGGTGCGTGACATCTACAGTAAGGTCGATGTCTTGAGCACGACTGGTGATTATGGAGTGGCCAACTTCAGGCAGGCCCGGGGTAGCTATCCGGTGTTCGGACTGGGACAGCCCAGTCTCAAAGGCTTCAAAAGGCTTCTCCAAGTTCTTCAGAAGGAAGGTCACGAGGTCAGTTTGCTTTGTTTCCTGCACATCCAGTTCCTTCAGCGCTCTTTTGCCTCTCTGTCTGTGCAGCCTTGCTGCTAGGGGCCTCTTTCCTCTGGATGAGAGACTTCCTATTGTGAAGCATTTCCTCTGTTGATGCATTGGGCCACCTCCAGTCACAGGAAACCATCACAAGAGGAAATTGCAGTGTGTCAGCACATTTGAGTAAGAGGATGAGGCGAGCTTAGGAAGACCAACGCTCTTTGGTTAGAGAGTTCATGACTTATGATTGACTCATTTGGAGCTGGATGTGGTTCAAATTCAGAAGACGGGAGAATGGTTAACACTCTGTGAATGTTGATGATTATAATACTGCTTCTTGCATTTGAGTCCTGTAGTGTATTCGTTAGACCACTCGCCTCGCAAGCGAGAGGACCCAAGTTTGATTTCCGGGCGGGGCAAAACCCATTAGGCAAGTTTCTTACTCCGCACGCCTCTTTTTACCTAGCAGTAAGTAGGAATGACTGGCAGATCGCTTTCTGGGGGTAATAATCCCTTAAAATTAAATATATATTGATAATTTCGTCACTCAATCCACAACTGTTTGACGGACAGTGCTGTGTGCAATCAGCTGCTGTGTTTTGCCCACAAAAATACAGTCAATTCACCAATTGTTGGTAACTAATTTCATCCGGGGATTCCTGGCCAAGAGAAAGAAACTCTCTTCTCTTTACGAATCATGCCATGGGATGATGGATAGCCTGGTAGCTAATCACCAGACTTGGCTGTCAGCAGAACAGAATACTGCCTTGAATAAGATCTCTTCAGCACTGAAGCTGACTGGGTCAGAGTGACCTAGACACAGATTTACTTTATAAAGTCAGTAAAAGCCCTCCTGCCCCAAGATCCTTGAGGGTAAGGATGAAAGCCACATTGTCCTCTTACATCTATAAGAAGGAAACAAGGTTAATAATATAAAGGGGGAAAAAAGGCTATTATTTGGAGAAATTAGTGATTAAAAACATAATACTAACAATTAAATGCTACTATATTGGTTGCTATTGCCACTCCGCACTTTGTTGGGGAAACCCTGCGCTGTTGTGAGTGTCGTCCCTCGGTTAAGGTGAAGAAAATCCCATGGTGCTATTCAAAAAGAGAAGTGGGTTTCTCTCTCCTGGGGTCCTGGCCAACAGTCCTCCAAGTAAAATTAGTCATTCATTTCAAGGCGGTTTGTGGGACATTGCCATGCTCAATTTGCTGCCGCATTTGCCTACAAATACAAAATTACTTAATTTCACAATAAATCCTGCGAAGCGTTTTGAGATGTCCTTCCAACATAAGGCACTAAATTAAATGCAAGGATTATTATTATTGTTATTATTATTATTATTATTATTATCTTTCCCTTGTCCACCTCTCTCGGCTCCCACTCTTAGCTTGGGAGCCCAACAAGCACTGTGTGCTTTGGGATGTCCTCCTGACATGAAAGGCGTCACCTAAATCTTAATTGTATTGTGAATATTTTCACTGTTGCGATTTGCAGGAAATTCTGTTTTTCTGTATCCGGGAGGAACCCATTGTCTTTCTACACCTGGACGATGATTATGTGCCCTACACTCCGAGAACCAAAGAGAATCTGCACGAGAACCTGCACCATTTGGGGAAGGGTCTTCGTGTGGAGAAACTGGAGCTGACCATCAAGAAGGAGGTATTGATGGCAGCAAAAGGAACATTCACCCTGTGTACATGTTTACAGCTGTTTTTCACCTCACTCTCCTCTGTAACACTGTGCAACACAAAATGTGAAAGTTGTTTGTCCTCTGGTCTGAGAGGTCTAATTTGATCATTTTTGCTTTCTTTTCTACAAAAACGACACCTTGTATACGCATTTATATAGCGCCCTTCATGTGGGGTGGCATCTTGGAACTCTCTAATCCTCCATAACCCTCTACCCTTTGAGACATCTCAATGACGTGATAAGGCGCTATATCAAATGCAAAGATTATTATTATTACTCCAAGGAGTCTCAGCCTGTGTGACCATTTTATCCTTCAAGATTCACAATCACTCAAAATTGTGGGAAATTCTGAATCAAATACAACGATTATTATATATTTAATTGTAGATAACCGCCTTCCAAATGAAGACAGGACTGAGCAATTTTCAGGCTGCATTTGTAAGGCAGCTTATGCAGAGCACCAAAGCAAGAGCATAGCTGGTGTGTGTGGGCAGCTCTATTTCACACCGAGCCATTGACATCGCTTTACAGCAGTGTCATTTGGGGAGCATTTGCAGCCTAACTTGTAATTCCATCAAGTTATTTCTCTTTGGTTTTCAGCTCTATGACTTTGCTCAGTTGAAGGAGAATGTTTATTATGTCTACAACGACATTGAACACTTTGACGATGAGCCGCAGAGCATCAGCATCTGCTGTGATGAGGACATCCGCGTGTCAGACGAGGTCTACAAGAGACCTTTCTTTACGATGCCTTCATACAGGTATTGACCACACGTTTTACAACATGTTCTAAGATGGTTAGGGTCCCTGGTGCAATCAGCTGAGACAGGTATTAGTTAACAAGAAGGGAGTTTTAGACAGAGAAGTGAAAGGGCCACCCAGACCATCGAACACATCTCTTCTCCCTCTGGTAGACAGTAAAACTCATACAGGCCGTATAGGTCGGGACCATAACATGCAATGTGACTTACACAAAGTTGCAGGCAAACTGTATAAATTGTAGAAAATTCGATTTAATCAATAAGATCCACTGCGCCTGGGAACTCAATGCAGCCGATAAATTTCAGCCTCACTGGTCAGTCTGAAATTAGACCAAGCACAGCCTGTCAGCGGGAATTCGCTGGTTATTCAGCAAACCAGCGTAATCAGAAAAGCAGAATAGCAGTCGGTCGTATGGGTTTATGCTGTGATTGCCATGGCGACCACATCGAGCTGGTGATTGGAACCTCTGTTTAATGAACATTCTGTGAAAGGCACGTTCCTGGTCCACAAAATGACTCAATTACCCATTAAATACATTTTCGCTGTTGTGGTAACCACAACAATTTTACATTTCTACAGCGCCTTTCACGTTGGGACGACGTCTGAAAGCTCTTCACAGAAATGAATGGGAGCCCGAGCTTGGGGGTGGGGGAGGGATTGAAGAAGGTGGGCCCGAAAGGCCCGTTTCCCCACCCTATCATTCTGTGTAACTCTATATGACCTTTACCTTATTGGTTAGAGCGCTGGCCTCGCAAGAAAGAGGACCCGGGTTCGATTCCCGGACGGGGCAGAATCTTAGCCTAGTTTGCTTACTCCATATTCCTCTGTTTACCTAGCAGTAAGTAGGAACCCGATTATTAGTCAATTGGAGGATCACTTTCCAGGGGTAATAATCCCTTTAAATATAATAATAATAATTTATTCACTCAATCCATGACTGTTTGTTGGACACTGTTGTGCGTACTTGGCTGCCGGGCTTCGCCCACAAAATTCATTTTATAGTATATTCTATGAAGCATTTTGAGACGTCTCAACAACATAAGAAGGCACTATATCAAATGCAAGGATTATTATTATTACTATTATGTTTTTTTTAATATAAAAGTGATTTGTGAGCTGCTGGTGCTGTGAACATTGTGCAGAGAGTAATGAATGTCTCTGTGTTTCAGGTACTATCGGTTACCACTGCCGGCTGAGGGGGCACCTCTAGAAGCACAGTTTGACCTCTTTATAAACATACTCAGGGTAAGTCTGTCACTCACAGCACAGCAATACTCTGTGAAGCGCTTTGAGTTGTTTCAAAGTACGCTCCCACTTCGAGCTCCGACTCAGCCATTACACCCTGAAGCTTTGGAACTCTCTCCCTCGATCCCTCCGCCTTGCCTCCTGCTTCCCTTTTAGATTACAACTGAAGACCTTCCTCTTCGACCGTGCTTACGATCATCTCGTACCCCCCACCCCCCCTCGGCTCGGCGTCAGGCTCGGCCACTGTTAAGCGCTCCGAGACGCTGCCCCGCACGAAGGGTGCTTTATAACTGCAAATTGTTGTTGTTTAAAAAGCACTTTGAGCCATTCTCCCAAAGTGAAAGGCACCATGGGACTGTCAACTGTTGATCGGATCAGTTTACTCAGCACAGGCCTGAGACTTGTTGGGTGACTCAGAGGTCTATTTATAGCCCCTTTTGCCTTCCATAACCACAGGGGTTTAAAACCAGCCATTCCTGTACAATTGTCTCGCTCCGAAATCTGCAGAAAGCTAGGAAGAGTTACATGAAAGCAGCAAATTGTTCTTGCTGAGTGTTTCTTGCTAGTTTGACATATCTTCATCGCTGCCAGCAAGCACGGTCTGGCTTTTTTCCTCCCTCTGATTTACGCTCTGCCCTCACGCACGCTTCCCTTTTTTGGGCAGGTTCTGTTGAGCAGACTTGGCCTCTTTGCCTTGTGCCGGTTAATCCATCCTGTAGAAAGCACCAGAGCCTGGAGAGATTTGTGTGCATTTGAATCCAGACACCATTATGTTACAATACAAGAAAAAAGAGCCCCCCTCAACCCCCCCCCCCCTCCCCACCACCACCACAGCTGCTTTCAACTCTCCTCAACAAGAGTATTAGGCATTCACTGCACTTCAGACAAAGATGAATGAGTTGCAGATTACAGCGTAGGGGAAAGACAAGCCAGTCATTTGAAGGAATTAAATCTACGTGTTTTTAAATAAATTTGTGCTTAGATCTGAAGCACTTCTTTAAAAAAAATGTATGAAGGTCTATTCTTTTTGTTTAGGTGGATATTAAAGATTCCAAGGCACTCTTGGGAAAGAGAAGGGAGTTTCTCCCGGGATCCTGGCCAACAATCCCTTGGATAAAACTGGCCATTGACTCTATGCTGTTTGTGGGACATCGTTGTGCGCAAAGTTGTCTGCCACTTTCTGAGATCGCAAGGGATCGGGCAGCTTCCTGAAACATGGCAGCCAATAGTGTCTCACAAGCAGTCGTGGATTCAGCGACCAAATTATTTTTATCATTTTTTGTTCTTTTTTTGAAGGGATTATTGAACTGCACCACTTTGATGTCTTTTTTCTTGTCTCCCCCACCAAGGCTGAGTATTGTGTGGGCTGCCACATTAAGAACAATCACTTGGATGAGGGCTACTGACATCTTTTAAACTGTTCCCCTTTTAGTCTTCACTGAATGCGAGTCTTTCAACTTGTACAGATGGTCCGTGCGTGTTTTATATATTTAAAAAAAAGTCCCCAATCCCCCATAGAAAACACAGAAATTTACAGCGTGTAAGAAGGCTTTTCAGCCCTTCATATCTATGCTGTCTCTCTGAAAGAACAATCCATTCAGCCCCACTTACCTGCTGCATTTCACCCATAAAATATTCAGTCAATTCCTTTATGATATATTGATTTGATGCACTTTGAGACGTCTCGAAGACAGGATAAGTTGCTATATCAAATGCAAGGATTATTACAATTATTATTATTACCTTCAATGTACCTTTTGTCAGAAACCCTGTAACCACCGATTCTGTTTGATAGGAAACTCCGAATCTGTTGCCAGTGCAGAGTTCGAAAAAACCTCCTCCTGCCCTTGTCTTCAGCTGTCAGGTTGGAGTCGGGAGAACCAACTTAGCAATGATCCTGGGAACGCTCGTTCTGTATCATAGGAGAGGATCTCCTGACAAATCAGGGTGAGTGAAGAGATTGGCGTGGGGTGGAGAGTGAGACCAGCAAACTAATCTTAACATTCACTACTAAATTCATGAGGAATTTCAGGCCTTTGATGTTGTGCCTGACACACAGGAGTCATCTCCGAGACCTCAGAAGCAGGAGATGTTTCCTACTTAGTCCTGAAACCAAACTCATCATTCCCCCTTCTGACGCTGAGGTCAATTGTAGTCTCAATTCAGATCGATTAACACAGAACAGTTATCTGATTCTAACCTGGGACACTCCTCGTGTGTACAGCTATGTTGCTCATTCGATAAATTAGTTGTATAGCGCCTTTCACGTTGGGAGGACATCCCAAGATACTGGACAGTCAAAGATTTGCACCTGAGCTGGGGGTTTGGGATCAGGCAGAGTGGAGGGCAGGGAGGGTGAGGGTAGGAGAGTGACCAAATGCACGGTCGAAGAGGAGCATCTTGAAACAGACTTTGAAGGAGGTAAAGAGGAGATGAGGCAAAGGGACTATAGGATGGAGTTCCAAAGGGTGGGGTAGAGAGGCTGAAGGCCAGACCACCAATGGTAGGGCGGACGTGGCAGGGGATATGGAGCAGGCCACAGTCTGCTGAGTGGAAGGAGAGGACAGGTCTGTATGGAAGTTGTTAACCTGTTGGGTGGTGGTGTGGGGGCTGGGTGGTAGGCTATGTGATGTAGAAACATTAGTGTTCACTTTCTGATCAAAGCTTCTCTTTCCTCTTTCAATGCAGAGCTGAGCGGAACACCAGCACCACCAAGCGAGAGCACTTACAGATTATCCAAAGCTTTATCAAGGCTTTACCAAAGCAGGGAAAGCAGATTGTGGAAGAGGTCAGTCAGTCTGTCAGATCAAGGCATCATTTTAGTAACCAGGTTTGGTTGGGGAGGGGCAAGAGATGGGAGATGTTTGTGCTTGGCCACATTGTGATGTGCTAATTAACACATGCATTTAATTTAGGACCTTGTGATATTTAGCACATTGACTGTCCCCAGCAATACCCCAAAATACCCTTTGCAATGGCTACACAGAGGTTGGACCGACAGGGAACAAATGACTAATAGTAATTCTGTGGATCAACTTGTTGCATTCCTCTGTATCATGCGGTTTCAATTCAGCCTGGCTTAGTTGGTAGCACTCTCTTCTCTGATTTGAAAGGTTAAGCTCCACCTAAGGTGGGGAAAGCACTGCAATGCCAGAGATGCTATCTTTCGGATGACACGTTAAAACTGGGAAGGTCTGTGCCTGTTCAGGTGGACCTTAGCAGTACTCAAAAAAAAGAAAGGAGTTTCTCCCAGTGTCCTGGAAAACAATTCCCCAGGTAAAATTGGTCAAGGCTGCTCATGGGATGTTGCTGTGGATAATTGCACCACATTTGCCTTCACAACCCAATATGGCAGGTGCTATATCCCGTGAGGTCCCGTAGTGTAGTGGTTAGCACACTCACCTTGCAAGCAAGAGGACCCAGGTTCAATTCCTAGGCGGGGCGAAACCTTAGGCAAGTTCCGTGCTCCACACACCTCTGTTTACCTCGCAGTAAGTAGGAACCCGGTTGTTAATCGATTGGCGGATCGCCTTCCGGGGGTAATAATCCCTAAAGAAAGAAAAAAATGCCTGCCATTCATTCCTTCATACGTGGTCATATTTACCTATTCAGGTGGATGTTAAAGATCCCATGGCACTATTTAAAAAGAGAAGAGAGTTTCTGTCTCCCAGTGTCCTGGCCAAATCCCCCCAAATAAAATTGATCACTCAATGCATGACTGTTTGTGGAACATTGCTCTGCACAATTGGCTGCTGCGTTTCGCCCACAAAATGCAAAGTCAAAGAGGCAGAGTCTTGATACTCTGAGCTCTTTTATGGCCTCTTCTAATTGGTGAGTTGATGCCATTCTCGGAAGGTAGAGAGTTGACCCCTGAACACAACCCATTTTTTCACGCTTCTCCTTTGCTTTGTTACAGGTTGACAATGCCATCGCCCTCTGCTCTGAAATGCACAACATTAAAGAGGCGATCTACGAGTGTAAACAGAAGCTGGACGGTATTGGGGAAGATTTTCAGGATCAGGTAAGTTCTGGGCTGCTCAGAATGAGGGAGGGTCAGTCTGGAAGGCATCAGTCTACCCACCTCGAGGCTGGAAATTCTACTCAGTCCTAGCTTGTTGGACCATTTTGTCCTAGATTTAAGATTGCCTTGAACTGCGTAAAATTCTTAAACTCAATCTTAATTTGGAATTTGGTTTTCTGAAAATAATTAAGACCGAGTTTACGAATTTTGCACAGTTGTGTGCCATCTTACATTTTTAAGTCAAAATGTTCTCAAGTGCTGGTGGAATCTCAGGCCTTGGGTTCAATCGGACTCGAGGGGGTTTGTTACTTACTGAAGAATTAAAGGGGAGTTTGGGGAAAAAGTGTCTTGAAACAAAGGGTGGTTAGAATGTGGAATTCTCTGCCACAAATTATAGTTGACGCAGAATGCATCAATTGTTTTAAGAGGGTAATTGGGGAGATGTTTTAGTGGACACCCATATCCTTATCCGCACGAAAGCTCACACGTTCATCGCACCCGTCCTTGCCATGCTCCACTGTTTCCACTGACTTCAAGTTCCTCACCTACGAATCACCTCATACTCTCACTCCTCCCTACCTCTGTGACCTTTTTCCAGCCTCATTCTTCTGCTCATCCCTCAGCTCAGCAAACCTGAACCTGCTGCATATCCCCTCCGTCCCACTATGTGTGGGCGAGCCATACAGCCCCTATCTTCTAGAACTCCCTTCCTTGAACCCTTCCATTTCTGTGTCTTCAGAGGACATCTAAAAGCCTACATCATCTTCTGTGTCTATGGTCACTCCTCTCCTCCCTACTCACTTCAGCATTTTGTCTCTATAAAGACAATCTGTTTCACCATCGCCGGCCGCACCTTCAGCCACTGTCCCCAGAACTCTGGAACACTCTCCCTAAATCCTTCTGCCTTGCACCCTCCTTCCCCGTCTTCAGGCCCGCCTGAAGACCTTTCTCTTCGACCGTGCTTCCAGACACACTGTCCCACCCCCCCACTGGCTTGGCATTGTGCTCCGCCGCTTTCAAGCGCTCTGAGACATTAGGGGCGCAATGTAAATGCAAGTTGTTGTTGTTGTTGACCCAACTGTGCAGCGCCTTGGGACGTCCTCCTGACGTGAAAGGCGCTTTATAAATGGAATCTTGTTGTTGTTGTTGTCATTGTTGTTGTTGCAAAGATCTCTTGAGATGCTATTCTATTTACCAAGTATCTAATTAATTCCCTATTGAACAAATTTACAGACTTTGCCTCAAATGTGGTTTGTGGCAGAGAATGCCCCATTCTGACCACGCTCTGGCTAAAGAGATGTTCTCTCACTGTCCCTTTAAGCTTTTTACCGCGATTGGACATTTCTTCAACAGCCGGAGATTAGCTGCCAGATACCCGTCTAATCTTGAGGTTTTCTCACTTTGTTTAGGGAAACAGCACCAAAGAATACTTCCTCCAAAGACTGCTGCAGAGTACGGAACGCTACTTTTACCTTGTTGCTTTTAATTTCTATCTTCACGAACAGGTAAGTATATCCTGAGTGCGTGCATCTGTGGCCATCCTTGTCATGTCTCAAGTGTGTGACGTGTTGCTTGGGGTGTGTTTTACGTGGTGTCAACTTGACTCATTTGGTAGCCTCTCGCCTCTGGGCCAGAAGTTGTGGGTTTGAGTCCCAGATCTGGTCTTTGAGCTCACAGTCTAGGCCAAGGGTCTTCAACCGGTCGATCGCTGCTAGGAAGGAGTGATAGAACTGCGTAATGATATTATTAGAAAGGGAAAGAGAGTTACCACCAGTGTCCTGGCCAATAGATCCTCCAGATAAATTAGGCATTCAATTCAATGCTGTTTGTGGGACATTGCTGTGTGCAAATTGGCTGCCATATTCGTTCATGAAAACAGCCACTATAGTTGATGGCAATTTTCTTTGAGACGTTTTAATGTTATAGAAGTCACATCAAATGCAAGGATTCATTTTTATATTAATATTATTAACATAATATTAGAGCACATTCATACATTGCACGTTCAGTCCAACTGGTCTCCAAGTTGAAAGAAAATCCTTTAGTATTCGTAACAATAATCCTTGCACTTGGCGTAAGCTCCTTATCACAGCGTGAACTTGTCAAACCATTTTTCATTCCACTTACTATAAAGTATAATGTATAGTATTTGGAAGGTGAACGTGGCCTAATTTGGCACAGCAATGTCCCACAAACAACTGTGAACCAATTTGAGTAGTCGAAGGCGGTGTCTTGGTGGCTTATCCCATACCCTTCAATCAGATGTTTCCCACCCCTTCATAGTTGTCTCGTTCCCACTTGAATTTGCTAATAGGCAGTCTGCCTCCCCGGGGCCTCAGTGTTTCGACAATAAACCCATCAACGTCAAGACACAATACTGTCTTATTGGGTGAGTTATAAAGCTGCTTGGAAGTGAAGTTTTCCATTGTGTGCTATGATTATAAAAGCCACAGAACTGGATTTAGAATATCTGGCACGCAGCTGAGACAGAGCTCACCAGCTTCCAGCGAAAGCTATTTTAAAGCACTCAGCTTGAACCACTAGCTAGGGATGTGCAGGCTGCTATTTTTAGTCCTGCTTTTCATGTTAAAATGTTTCTGTGATTCAGTAAGTGGATGGTTGATTTGAAGTGGACCTCGCTTTGCTTTGTAGCAGCCTTCCCGCTCTGTGCTTGTTGCCCATACTTGCACCTTGATAAACAGCGTCTCAGAGAGGACCTTTGCGGAGACACAAAAGATTTTTAAGTAGGATTGAGAAAGTAAACCCGGATCAGTCATAGAATTTTACAGCACAGAAGGAAGCGGGAAGGCTGCTACAAAAGAAGCGAGGTCCACTTCAAATCAACCATCCACTTACTGAATCACAGAAACATTTTAAGATGAAAAACATCGTGCCTGTGCCTGCTCTTTGAAGAGCTAAAAAAAAAATTACTAAAAATGTGGTCACTCCATCCAAGACTCTTTTGGATCACTGCTGTCCGCAATTGGCTGGCGCGTTTTGTTTGCAAACTACACGGTCAGTTTACGTTGCACAATATTTTGTGAAGCACTTTGAAACGTCTCAACAGCGTAATAAAGTGCAATATCAAATGCAAGGATTATTATTATCCAATTGGTCCCACTCCCCAGAGGGCGATCGAGAAACAGAAAAGGGTTACCACACCATCGAGACGTCTCAAAGAGCTTCACAGAATATACTGTAAAGTGAATTGACTACTAATGGGTATTATTATTCACTATAAATAACTTGGTTAATATTATTGTTAATTTCATTGTAATTAACTTTCTTAATGGGCCAAAGTGTCTTCATCCCAAACCTCTCTTGTGACCCTATGTGTTTGTTGGCTTGCAGTACCCACTGGCCTTCCCACTTAACTTCAGTCGATGGATCTGCAGGCACCCCTGGATGTATAGGATCTTAGCTTGCATGAATACCTCAGAGCTAACAGCCTCAGCTGATCTGGTGACCAGAGGAATCAGAGTATTGGTGAGTTGCAACTTGACACAGAAAACGCATCCAACTTGGAACGAATCGTAACTTGTAGATTGTGCTTATTTGACTTGCTTTGGCTTCACTCCGCCATCGGCGGCCGTGCTTTCAGCCACCACGCCCCTAAGCTTTGGAACTCTCTTCCCCCAATCCCCAGGGACTATCATCATTCCTCTCTATCAAGAGGTGTTGCTCTCCCCTCTGAAATGTCGTCCAATTTTATTTTGGTCAGCTGGGTGTCTAATAAGCTCAGAAACACTTTGCCATGATTAAGAGTATCCAAACCAAACTGGTGTAAGTTCCACTTATTCAGATGAAAATATTTCTTCTGGAAGAGAGACATACCCGGCTCGTTTAATCCTGGATTGTGTAAAACCCAGGTCTGTAAGAGCCAAGACTTGAGGACCACCCCAGAGCGGTTTCAGGGGTTAACTGCTGAAACATTCTGTATTTGAAACCTGAGGTGCACAAATGGTCTACATTGGACTCTCTGCCAGGGAGACTGATCACAGAGTGGAAATTTCTCATGGTCTCGGGCTTAAGACCATCATCTTTCAGTTTCAGGTTGTTCAGTTGGGAGCTACACTTGTGATGCCTTCCTTACTTCCTTCCCCCACCCTTTGGAACTCCTTCCCACAGTCCCTTTGCCTCGTCCCCTCCTTTGCCTCCTTTAAGGCCTGTCTGAAGACCTTTCTCTTTGACTGCGCCTTCAGTCATCCTTCTACCCCCACCCTCCATGCCCTCCACCCCTCCTGATCCCAACCCCCCAACTCGGGTGCGAATCCCTGACTGTCCAGCGCTTTGGGATGTCCTCCCGATGTGAAAGGCACTAATCTGTTGTTGTTATTCACTTTAAAGGTCGGGTGACCAATGAGAAGGATGTATGTGATATGGCTTCCTATTCAATTCTTTTTTTGTGTGAATGTAACCGCCCGTTACTCTCTTGTCCTCACTGAGCAGACAGCAGACGATGGTTCCACGCCTGACGTGCTCAGCACAGTTAAAGAGATGAAAGTGGCCAATTTCAGGAGGGTTCCGAAGATGCCAATCTATGGGATGGCACAACCAAGTTCCGAGGTAATCATGCCCCTTGCTTTTGCTATACCATAGCAGCTTATCACATTATCGAAACAGCTCCATGATTTCGCAGAATTTACTGTAAAGTGTAATGACTGGATTTGTAGGAGAATGAGGGAGCCGATGTTAAACACAGCCAAGTCCCACATAATGCCATGAAGTGAACGGACATTATTTTAAATCTGGGTGAGTGTTGGCCGAGACACTGAGAGAAACGCTTTTCGAAAAGCGCCGTGGGATTTTTAACATCCACCTGAACTGGCAGAAGGGAGCTCAGTTTAATGTCTCATCCGAAGGACGGCACCTCTGGACAATGCGGTGCTCGCCCAATATTGCACGGGATTGTCAGACTGGAGTATGAGCTCAAAGTAGGGAACGTGGGGGCTTGAATTCACAACCTTCTGATCTGGGCTGAAATGTAGGCTTAGCTGCTGAAGTGTAAAGCTCCTTGTAGTTTTAAATTAAAATTGAACTTGCATTAAAAATCAGATACTTCGGGTGACGCTGTGTAAGGATTCTATTGTGGAAGTGTTCACCCAGCTCTAGTGAGTGTGGGCATGTTTCGTTGCACAAACGTTATTGCAACCAATAAATTGTAATGTAATGCTGACGGTGATCTTTTTTATGATGGTTTTCCACAGGCCTGTGGGAACGTCCTGACCTACCTGACGGATGAGAAGAGGAAACATTCCAGCGTCCTATGGGTTAACCTGCGGGACGAAGTGGTGGTGGAAGGCAATGGCCAAGTGTACACCCTGCGGGAACCCATCAACTTGGAGCAGCCCATTGCTGTGCCGTCAGAACTACCAGAGCAACTGGAGGTGAGTGCAACACACTGAGGCGCTCTAGATGACATCCCATTCCCTTCTGGGATTCCAACTATTTCCCTACAAAACACAGTCACTATACATGACTGTAATCACCTGAGAAGTGTCTTGAGTCGTGTCCTGTTGCATAGATTTGTTACAACACGGAAACAGGACTTCGGCCCAACCAGTCCGTGCCAGTGTTTATATTTCACCGCTCTCCTGTCTGTTCCTTTCTCCCTCGTGTATGCATCATGTTTCATGTTCTGCTTCAACCACAACTTCCGGCAACGAGTTTCACATTCTCTCCACCCTCTATATAAAGAACTAAACTCTCTTTTAGATGTGTTAATGGCTACTTCATATTTAGGCTCCATTGTTATAGTCTTATGTGACTCCATTGATATAGCACCTTATGTTGTGCAGATGGCTCAAAGTGCTTCACCGAATTATGCTTGCATTTCTAGACAGATGCCAGGGAAGTATTTCTTTACCCAGAGCATAATTATTGACAGGGACAGGTTGGTTTAGGCCAGGACGCTGGGCTCATTTATCCTTGGAATCGCACAGTCTAAGCAGACACTTCAATGCAGTGCTGGGGGTGTGTTGCATTGTTGAAGGTGCCGTCCTTTCGACGAAACCAAGGTCCCATCTGCCTGTTTAGGTGGATGTTAACGATCTATTCAAAAAGTGAAGGGAGTTTCACCCAGTGTCCTGGCCAACAATCCCCCAAATAAAAAGTTGGTCACTCACTCGATGACTGTTTTTGGGACATTGCTGTGCGCAGCTGGCTGCTTTGTTTCGCCCACAAAATACACAAGCAATCCATTTTACAGTATATCCTGTGAAGTGCTTTGAGACACCTCAATAATGTGATAAGGCGCTATATCAAATGAAAGAATTATTATGCAGTGATCGATGGACCTTAGGATGGAATAAAATGGGCTGAGAGCTTTCCTCATCTGAACCCCTCTTCTGATCTAATAATAATCCTTGCATTTGCATTATGTCGTCTGTGTGTGTATATATATATATATGATATTATTATAAACAATACACATTTGTATTTGGTGATCTGTGTGTATATTATAGATAACACGTATTTATTTCCTCTTTGAAAGAAACTAGAATCTAACCTTAAAACAGAGATGCTGAACTCGCAGAAATGGCTTGAAGTTTGCCTGGATCAGGAGAAGAAGATGAAACTGTTCAAGAACTGCCTGACCATGCAGGAGATGTTCAACCAGCACAAGAGCTCACACCAAGGCCTGCTCTACAGGCGCATTCCCATCTTTGACTGCTGCGCTCCCAGGGAGCAGGTAAGAAATGGAAGCAGCAGAAGCTTTTATGACTGAGTGTCTTGACACATGCGGAAACCCATCACCGTGTTTAAGAGTATCCAAACCAAACTGAGAATTCCATGCATCCCACCTACACATGGAAATTTCAGAGATAGATTGTTGGAATGTGCACTCTCTCCTTGGAGGGACACTATTCCTGTTTGTCCAGCTAGGATCAGCCTACCCCTTAGGACTTTGGCTTGCATGATTAATGTAACCTGTACAAATAATGTATCGCCATGCAATCCAGTAAGTGGCCATTATTCACGTGTGATCTTTGGCAGAAGGTGATAATAATAACTATAACAATTGATATAGTGCCCTATCACGTCGGCGAGAGCTTCAAAGCGCTTCACAGGATACACTGTAAAGTGGGGTGACTGTGTATTTTGTGGGTGAAACACGGCAGCCAGTTTGCCCACAGCAATGTTCCACAAACCGCCATGGAGTGGAGTGACCAATTTGATTTCGGGGATTTGTTGGCCAGGACACCGGGAGAGAGAAACTTCCTTCTCTATTTGAATAGTGCCATGGGATCTTTAACGACAGGCAGATAGGTTTAACGTCTTATCTGAAGGACGGAATGACAGGGCTCCTACACAGTGAGGGGATATTCCAGACTATTCTGAACCACCTCCTGCTAGGTTTGCTGGACAAGAAGCGTGAGCTCCTTCCCAGCCCAGGGTCGCTGATCCTGTGACCTTTCACTCGTTTGGTTCAGTGTGACACGGGAGCTCTTTTTACCTTCATCAAATACAATCATCAAACCTGCTCTCCAGAGAGCACCGGCTTACACTTTGGGTATTGTTCCAACAACAATTGGCACTTTCCTTTAGATCGCCTCAGAATGCTTGACAGAGACAGCGTTAGAGGTGGAGGGGACATAAAGCAGGCCTGAGTTTGTAGAGCAGAGGGAGTGGGCGAGGGAATGGGACCGCAGGAGATCGCAGAGTTACAGCACTGGCGTATGTTAGTGTACGCCTCCACCGGTGTCCAGACCCCAGGCTCTAATCTCCTGTGCAACGGGATGCTTAATTGTGTCATTAATAAACCCTGTAATTGTCCGGGAGAGTTGTTGTTTAGCATCGACTTTGCTGGAGCAGCGAGTGAGCCTGCAAAGTGTCCCCTGCACATCGTCAACACGGGAACCGTGGGCTGTGGTTCAGATGCTCCTCCCTATTCTGTGTTCAATTAACTTGTGGTGTCTCACCACTGTCTGGCTAGTTAGAACATTCGCCCCACACGGCAGTGCGGTGAAAGTATTTAGGATTCATAAGAAATCAATACATGGAAGACTTGATGATCCAGCTCTACTGTTCATTCCACTCTGAAACCTTGGCTGAGATTGACACACAATAGTTCCCTCTCGTGGTGCCCTGAGATATTACAAGCAACACCGTGCAGCATTTAAACCTCCTGCTTATTTGATTATAACAACAATGATAGTCCCTGCATTTGATATAGCACCGTATCATGTCGTTGAGAGTCTCTAAGCGCTTTACAGAATATACTGTAAATTGGAGTGACTTTATTTTAGTGGGTGAAATGTAGCAGCCAGTCGCACTCAGCAGTGTCTCACAAACAGCCATCGAGCGAGTGACCCCATTTTTATTTTGGGGGATTGTTGGCCAGGATACTGGCGGGTTATAGGCTATAATAATAATTCTTGACTATAGACTAATAATAATAATTCTTGCATTTGATATATGGCCTTTTATGTCAGGAGGACGTCTCAAAGTGTTTCAGTGTATTGTGTGTCAAATCAATGCACTTAATGTGAACCTTATGTCTGAAGTCCTTGTTATTTCTCTCTGTCTCTTGCCCCCTATTCCCCCTGCTTCCCTCCCCCCCTCAGGACTTTGATAAGCTGATGAAAGCCATGAAGAGTATTTTGGCTGAGGATTCTCGTTCTGCGTTTGTGTTTAATTGTCACAACGGAAAAGAAAGGACCACGATGGCCATGGTGATATCGGTGCTTTTTCTCTGGCATTTCCACGTGGGTACATTCCTTCTGCTTTAGACAGAAGGATTTTAATGCAATATTTCTTGTGTGTGCATCGATTAACTCATTTGCTATGATATTGATGATGAGAGAGAGCAGATATTCTCACACAGAGAATGAGAGGGAGAGACTGAAAGGCATGTGCTTGTGTGTGTGTATATATCTCAGACTTGTGTGTGTATTTATATTATACATACGTGGGTACAGGGTATCCACAAAGTCCCGTTACCTCCATGTTTTTTTCCTTTCCTCCCCATCCCACCAGAGTGCACTAGTGACCAAACCAACGACTAAAAACATGTGGAAGAATGATGATGATTGTATTTAGAAGTACTTCATTGTATTCAGTACAAGTGATTAACCGTTATTTAGACAGCCAGAGGATCAGTGTGAGTGTGAGCGCCATCGTTTTCATGGCAGTTAATGATCCGTCGCCACATTCGATGCAATATCTTCCGTAACATGATGGATTGACGGAAGAGAAATGAATCTCTGACGGCTTATTTCAGCTCCTTCGTATCACGTCGCCGAGAGACTCAAAGCGCTTCACAGAATATACTTTAAAGTAAATTGACTGTGTATTTTTGTGGGCGAAACGCGGCAGCTAATTGCGCAAAGTAATGTCCGACAACAGTCGTTCATTGAGCTGTTGTACTCAGTGAGTTATTGACAACCAGCTGCTCCCATCGCCGTGTGAGCCTTGCACTGTGACCGCACCCACATACACAACCTTGTCTTTATTCCAGGGTATTCCTGAGGTTTGTGAGGACGAGCTGGTGAGCGTGCCTGACGCCAAGTATACAAAGGGGGAGTTTGAGGTACGTAGAGCAGAAGAAATCGGGCGCTGGAACAGGGGCACCTTTTTAAACCACGGCGTCAATAGTTTCCCACAGAGTGCCAGCATGCTCTGTGGCAACAAATCCATTCACCCTTCTCAGTGCTGCCGTCGACACACAAGTGGCTTTGAACGACTGTCTGCTCACTGAATTCAGTGTCTCTCTGGTTAATTGTGGTGCTGTAGATCCTCTGTGCCTGGCTGGGCGGGCGAGCGGGCATGTGTGAGGGGGCAGGGAGTGAGGAGAAGAGGAAGGATAGAGGATTCTTTAAAAGTGACAGAATCAGTACGGACAGAGCTTGCTCAGCAAACATCACTTTGCCTTGTCCAGTGATTGAGAGACATGAGATGTGCCGCATTTGGAATGGGAGCGATGTAACAACATTGGGTCAGACACCAAGCCATGCTCAGTTATTTCAAGCCCATACTGCGCAATGTCAGATGGCCTCAAGCTCACTACAGGTTCCTCTGACGGGATTTGTTACCTTAAACAGGGGACTTTCATTATAATAATCCTTGCATTTGATATGGCCCCTTTCACGGCCACGAGAGGTCTCCAAGCGCTTCACAGAATAATGGTTCAGATTAGTACTGCTGCTGCCTATATTTTCTTGTGAGACTCCTCTTTGGGATACAGGAAAGGTCTAATTTATGGTGCATCTTATCGTGATTCATTATCCAAGCAATTGATTTGCACCCAATGAAGACTCCCTTCAGAAACCCTTTCAGATGTACATCACTCTGACCTGTTGCGACTCTGCTTTGATCTGACCTTCTTCCGGAGTCCAGTTTCCCATGGTGGTCACTAGTCTACACCATCCCTGCAAACACACAGCTCTGTGCTAGTCACTGCAGGTAAATTGTAATATTATCAGAAGGACGTGACATTGGCTTTCCTCAAGGGAAGAAAGGGGAATTCTCAGACCTTTTCTTTTAATTGACAATCCAAGGCTTGAAATTTGCAGAACCCCTCTGAGGTTAAAGAGACCAGCAGAAACTTTGAGGCGCTGAATAAAGGCAATTTGTTGTTGTTCAACACTTACTTTTGGCAAGGCTTGTGCCAGCCTGGCGCTGTGGTCGCGCTCTCGCCTCTTGAGTCAGAAAGTTGTGTGTTCAAGCCCCCCGTCACGACTTGGAATCACACAGTTTAAGCTGACCCTCAATGCAGTGTGCAGCAATGTCGGAGATGCCGTCCTTCAGCTGAGAAGTTTCAAAAAGAGAAGGGGGTTTCTCTCCTTGGGTATCCCGGCCAACAAGCCCTCAAATAAAATTGGTCACTCCCGTGGCTGTTTGTGGGACATTTCTGTGCTCAACTCACTGCTGCATTTCGCTCACAAAATGCACAGTCAATCCACTTTACAGCATGTCCTATGAAGCGCTTTGATCAGTCTCAATGACGTGATGAGGCGCTATAGCAAATGCAAGGATTATTATTGTTACTTAAGCAGCACAGAATGCCCGTGTTGATGTCAGGAACCTTGTTGCCCGCAGGTTGTGATGGAGCTGGTCCGACTGCTGCCAGACGGCCATCGAATGAAGAAGGAGGTTGACATGGCGTTGGACTCTGTGAGCGAAACCATGACCCCCCTGCATTACCACCTCCGCGAAATCATCATCTGCACTTACCGACAGGTGAGTCCTGGCCAGGACAATGCACATGAGCTCTGACACTGAAACCAGCCCAGTGTAGCATGAATAATGTATTTCACCCTTTCAAATTGGTTTTGAATGCTTACTGTTAAGGAGAGGTGGGATGTATATGCTTTGTGCGGCACTAAATGTTCATTATTCATCATTTTGAACATCACGGTCTTTTATGAGACTGCGCGATGGGGGGAACTATTGGTCAGAGTAGAAGCAGAGTGAAGCGCACGTCACACGATGTGTGGTGAGCAGAGCCATTCTTACCTTCGAGTCAGAAGGCTATGGATTCAATCCCAAGTCAGGACTTTGAACCCATGTAGTCTAAGCTGACATTCCAGTGCGGAATGTAGGGGAGCAATACATTGTCGGAGGTGCCATCCTTTGGATGAGACGTTAAACCGAGGTCCCGTTCAGGTAGACGTCACGGACCCCATGGCAGTATTCGTAAAGAGATTGGAATTTCTCTCGGTGTCCTGGTCAACAAATAAAATTGATCATTCACTCCATTGCTATTTGTGGGACGTTGCTGTGTGCTAATTGGCTAGTGCGTTAGCCTACAGTCACTGCACATCACAGTAAATTCTGTGAAGCGCTTTGAGACGTTCTTCCGACACGAAAGGCAAATGGAAAGATTAAGTCGGATTTGAACGTTGGGGGGGCCGGGGGGAAAATTCTGCAGACTGGGTCTAATGTTGCATTTGACCAGTAGGGGGCAAACCTGCTCTGATACTTGGATCACTTCTTGTCAAATTGGAACTGCAGGCAATAAAAGGAATGGATGCAGCCAAAATCAACTCTTCTCCCGAGCGCAACAGGGAGACTAGACTGCCGTTTTTACCCCTGTAGTGTTTTATTGGAACTTATGCTTCCAACAGCTTCCAACCAGCAGAATGTACGCTTGTTAAAGTTTTGATGCCTTTTTGTTGAAAGTTGGGTCCATTCCCTCCCACGTTAATAATAATAATAATCCTTACATTTGATATAGTGCCTTATCACGCTGTTGAGACGTCTCAAATTGCTTCAGAGTATACACTGTAAAGTGAATTGACTGTACAGTTTGTGGGCGAAAACGCAGCACATGAACAGAAAGCATGAAATAATGACCAACCTCCAGGTTGATCATTATCATTCGTGTCACGCCCTGTGCAGGTTGCTCAGGAAGCACCAATGAAGAACGTCGCTTTCTGAAGCCTGTGACTTCCTGCATAGGAAGCGTTGGCCAAGATACCAGGAGAAACTCCCTTCTCTTTTCCAATAGTATTACGGAATCGTTTAATGGGGAATCTCAGTTTAACATCACACCTACCTGTCAAGTCATTCCAATGTGCCCTAGATAGCCTTGTCGGAGCTGTTTTACTTGTTTGCTGTTACAAGCTGACAGATGTTCTCCCCATTCACTCGAAGCCAAACTTTCAGGTTAAGAGTTTCTGCTGTGCAATTGACGTTAAGTGCACATGCAATTTATAATGTACCAGGTCAGACTGATCTTTGGGGAGGGAAAAAATGGGAAAGATGGAGGAGGTGCAGCATTAAACCAAGTCTACTGTCAGATTAGTGTCTGCTTTGTTACAGATGACTGTTTTATGGTGTATTTTCATTTGGTCAGCTGGTGTATGATGCATGCGGAAACCCATCATCATGCTTAATAGTATCCAGACCAAACTGAGATTTCCATGCAACCCAGCTACACATGGAAATTCTAGAGATAGGTTGTTGGAATTGAATGCGCACTCTCTCCCTGGAGGGACACATCCTGCTTACCTAATTCCAGAAAGTATTAGGCGCAGGTTGCCAAGAGCCATGGTTTCGGGACCTCATAGTGTGCGTTGGGGTAACTGCTGGAATGTAACCAGCTAAAACCATGTAGCTTGCCATTGACATCGCTGCCTGGCAAGCTTTCCTGATGCTTGTCCAGCTAGGACCACCCTACCTGTTAGAGCTTCGGCTTGCAGGGTTAACAGGGTCTGTTTTACGTGTATGTATTTGTGAGGCCCAGATTATGGTGATGTTATTTTTTGATGTCTGGTTGATGTTCATGTAAGTTGGTCTTATTTTGCTGGTTGATGTTCATGTAAGTTGGTCTTTACATCAATATCAGAGTGTTCACAAATTGTCCAGTGAATATATTTAGCTACAATGTTATGTCAATACAGATTCCCTGATTGTGCTGGACATGATGGCAATGTTTCAGGTGCTTGATGGGTTAGTCAGCATTTTGAATCAATGTTTCTCTTTAAGATCTTATTTTGATAATAGCTTGGTCTTGTGCTGATGTTATGAGAGCCTTATGCTTCAGCTCTCAGATTCCCATTAGTCAACCAGTTATAGCTTTGGTGTATTCAGTGTATTTATATTATTAATAAATAGTAATATAAATAAATAATAGACTGTGTGTCAGCCTGATGCAGTGGTAGCACTCTTGCCTCTGAGCCAGAAGGTTGTGAGTTCAAATCGTGCATCAGGACTTGAACTCACGTAATTTACGCTGACACTCCAATGCACTGCTGGGGGGGTGCAGGGTGCTGCATTGTCGGAGGTGACGTCTTTCAGATGAGGCATTAAACTGCGAGTTCCCGTTGCCTATTACGGTGATCAGTCTCACGGCACTATTGGAAAAGAGAAGGCAGTTTATCCTGGAGTCCTGGCCAACAATCCCTCAAAAAATAAAATTGCTCGTTCATTTCATGGCTGTTTTGTAGGACATTGCTGTGCACAATTGTGTCGCCGTGTTTGCTACATATACACAGTCATTCCATTTCACAGTAATTCCTGTGAAGCACTTTGAGACGTCATTCCAACATGATCAGGCACTCTACCAAATGCAAGGATGATAATTATTATTCTCCGGAGTCGTACATCAACACTGCAGCTTAAGGCCCTGTCTGGTGTCTCCCATCCTCCCCTGAAGGGGCCGCCTTGTGCTGCAATGATGTCCCTCTGCTTGTTCTTCATGAGAGAAGCTAGACAGTGAGAGTTTGCAGATTAGTCACTCCTGCAGGGACTCGGCAATGAACTCAATCCTTTAATTTCCGCATCAGAAGCCCAAATTTCCTCATGATCTTATTCTTGTTAACTTCAGTCTTCCTCTGGTGTGGGGTAGTGGTGGGGGATTGGTGGCTGAACTCGCTCCAAGTTGACCTGCTTGCTACGAAATGTCAGAAGGGCTTTGACCCTCTTGGCTAGTCTCGGTTGCCGAGCCAGGTGGCTACACATTACTCCATGGCACTGCTGATGACAGACTGTCCAGCCTGGCTTGTCATCAGGCCCTGGAAGGGCAGGCAGTTGCTCCAAAGCACATACGATCGATTCTTGCTTAGTTTTCAGCGGGTGTTGGGGCTGAGAATGCAGCTGTTTTGATGCGAGCAGCTGCTTGAGAATGCAATGGAATGAAGTAGCCCGATGATGGAGATGTACGTCAGGGTCTATTACAGAACTCCTCATCGCTTTCTAATGAGGAAATTCACAATCCCTTATGGGAGGGTGCGGGGTGGTGGGGGCGGTGGAGGTGGGCGGACAGAGGTAGGAGGGGAAAGAGAAGTCGTGACAGGGAGGAAGATGAATTGACGTGTATAGTGCCCCTCTCTATTGCGTTTGCTTAGCAAAATCCTCCCTCTCCTATTCATTTGCTTGCATTACAGAACAGACAGGCTCTTATCTGTGTGTTCTTAGGGAGCATATTTCAACCAGTTTCAAGGCCAATCATAGCCATATGTGGCCCTTTAACCCCGTTGAATTACCTCAGGCTGAGGAACATTAATGGCACCCTGGGATACAATGAAGCTTTTTTCTGCAGTATTCCCTGACCTCTGCTCTGGGTGGGGTAAGGAGGGAGGGGGTGTGGGGAGGAATGTTTTTCCAAGCATTGCCCTTAGCAGGAAACATGGGCATTTGGGTGTTACCTCCAAACTGCACTGTTACTGTACAGAGCTGCGCGGGTTTCTGCCTTTTGTGTGGCTGAACTGTACGTGGCTCGGGAGGTGCAATGCCTCTGGTATTATGTGCATGAATCCTCGTATTTCTTGGAAGCAGATTGTGTTGATCCTCCAGCCAGTTCTGGCAGTGACGGTGCCAGCAGACAGACTTGCGCTCTTATTAAATAAGGGCAACCAATAATGGGGAAAGGTGTTTTTTCTCTCTCTCCCTCTCTCCCCTTCTCTCTCAATGTTTGATTTCCCTGTGCCATTCTGCACGGTGCCAAAGTAAATATTTACAGCAGGCGGGGAGCTCAGTGCTACAGTGGCTTCGCATTCAGTGTGAGCAGGTGAAAAGCGCTTGGCATCAAGGTATTAGTTTCTGTCTCTTTTCCCAGGAAACCCTGTTTATGGAGAGGCTGACCAGCAGGAGAAATGAAAGTGCTTCACTGTGGAATTAAAATATTGTACAATAGAATAACAATCCTTGCATTTGAGGTAGGGCCTTTAGTGTCAGTGTTTCACAGCCCTTCACAGGGAATTGCCATCTGCTGTAGTGACTGTGTATTTGTAGTCAGTCGGAGCAATCAATTTTACCACAACAATGTCCCACAAAGCAAAATCTGATCTGGGGGACTCTTTCTTTGAATAGTACCACAGGATCAAATGAAAGGATGATTATTATTATTCTCATTTATTATTACCTCCAACAATACTGTTGTTTGTTAAATGGGTTTATTGGCATAGGGAACTACGGTCTTTAATCGCTGCACAATCAATTTCACCATCTCAGACCTCAAGGCATTAGTTTCCGTCTGCCTGTTTCAGAATGCAGGCAACTGATCGCTTTGGGGAGACAGCTGTGACCAGTGCTGTGTGTATTATTGGACTGTCCTTGTTCCTCATCGATTGAGAAATATAAACTGTTTCAGTGGCCTGCAATCAGAACTTCTGAATACCTATCTTTAGAAAGTTGCGTGTATTCTTGGCGTAACATTTTCTTTGCTTAGTCTATCCTTTTACATGTCTGTGTGTGTCTTAACCACAAAACTTCCCCAAATATATAACCAACAATTG